CACAATTTCACAGACTATCTAAGAATACAACAAATAAGGGTTCGAAAGGAAAATACAACGCTGTCTCTAAAATACATAAAAGAAACAGAATGAAGGGATAGAAGGAGACGCCAAGGCCCGCGGACGCCTGCAGGACTACCTCGGGTCGCCTGATAAACTGGAAGCAACAACCTCACTGCGGTCCGAAAGCTACAGTACCGGGATCTGCACAAAAGAGTGCAGAGTGTAGTATCAGCACAACCGACCCCATGTGCTGGTAAGAGCCTAGCCTAACCTCGGCGAAGTAGTGACGAGGCTAGGACCAGACTACCAAATAATCCTGTGCAATTAAATCATATACAGCGGAAAATAAAGGCAGAAATTTATAATTTAAAAGTAAGAAGGGGGAAGGCATGCTGCGGGGGAATCAAGTAACAACAGAAAACAATAAATAACCGTAAAGAACACTATAACTCAAAAATCAACAATAATTGGAACATCAAGACAAGTGCACGGCATCACCCTTCGTGCTTTTACTCTCGTCCTCACCAAATATCAATATAATCGGCACGACATCACCCTTCGTGCTTTTACCTCACATAATCATGGCACGGAATGATCCTTCGTGCGTTATCACTCATATAAAGGCACAGAATGGTACATCGTGCGACACGACATCACCCTTCGTGCATTAACACTCTCTCACAAATATCATGCACGGCATCACCCTTCGTGCTTTAACACTCTTCCTCTCCCAAACAACAATCACAAACAATAAGGGCAAGGAAATAAATAAATCACAATAAAATCCCGGCAAGGGAACAATAGTACATCAATCATATCCCGGCAAGGGAAACAATATCAAAAGCAACAACATCCCGGCGAGGGAGATAACATTAAAAGCAACAACATCCCGGCAAGGGAAACTATATCATAATCCTCCTCTCTTTTTCATATTTACTTCACAACTCAATTCACAACTTGAGCCAATGCTCTATAATGTTCAATCGCCAACAATAATTCCACAACTCATTTCACAACTTGAGCTAATGCTCTTCAATGCTCAATTACCAAAATTTCTTCCACAAGCCTTGTTCAACAATAGAAATACCACATAAGGCATGAACAATACACAACGAAGTCATATTAATCATAGCATAAGACTCACGGGCATGCTTGACACCAACGTATAGATACTCGTCACCATGCCTATACGTCGTACTCAACAATTAACACGTAGCAAATATGACACAACTCCTAATCCCTCAAGCAAAGGTTAAACCAAACACTTACCTCGATGCCACAAACACAATTCAAGCCTCAACTACTGCTTTACCTCTTGATTCCACCACCAATTCGCTTGTATCTAGCCACAAGTTACTTAACTATATCAATAAATGCTAAATGAATCAATTCTAATGCATGAAAATAGGTTTTCTGAAGTTTTTCCCAAAAAGTCAAAAATTGACCCCGGGCCCGCTTGGTCCAAACCCGAAATTCGGACCAAAACCTGATTACTCATTTACCCCCGAGCCCGGATATATAATTGGTTTTGGAATCCGACCTCAATTTGAGGTCTAAATCCCCAAATTTCAATATTCTTAGGTTTTACCCAAAATTCCCAATTCCACCATGAAAACCCTAGATTCTAGGATGAAATCTTGTAAAAAGAAGTTAAGAAGCGAAAGAAATGAGTTTAAAATCACTTACTTGTGTTTTGGGGAAGAAACATTGTTTGAAAAATCGCCCCTTATGTTTTAGGTTTCTGAAAATGGAAAAATAACTGAAAAGTCCTGTTTATATACTCCTCTCAGACCCTCACCGCGAACCGCATAAAAAGGATTGCGGCCGCGGAGCTCCACCGCGGATCGCGAAATATCGAGCGCGGCCGCGAAAAGGCTTGGCCTTGCTCACCGCGGACCGCATGAATCCCACCGCGGTCGCGGAAGCCCCACCGCGGTCGCGAGAAAGCACTGCGGACCGCGAAGCCAGGTTCAGAGACCTGCAACTTCTCTGAACCTGCAACAGCTATTTTTTTCTAAGTCTAAATCCACTCCGTGGCCTATCCAAAACTCACCCGAGCCCTCGGGGCTCCAAACCAAGCATGCACGCAAGTCCAAAAACATCATACCGACTTGCTCGTGCGATTAAATCATCAAAATAACATCAACCACTATGAATTAAGCCTCAAATTCATGAAATCACTCAAGAACATCAAAATTTTCAGTTTCCTCAAATAAGGTCCGATTTATACTAAACGGACTCCGATTCTCACCAAACTTCACAGATTCTACTAAATTATTATTTCAAACTTGTGCCGGGCTCCGGAACCAAAATACGGGCCCAATAACATCAATTTCATAATCTTTCATTTCTCAAAAACTCTTATATTTTCCAAAAAATAATTTTCTTCAAAAATTCATTTCTCGGGCTTAGGACCTCGGATTTCACTTCCGGGCATACGCCCAAGTTTCCTACGGACCCTCCGGGATCATCGAATCACGGGTCCGGTCCGTTTACCCAAAATATTGACCGAAGTCAACTCAAATTCATTTTTAAAGAAAAACTCATCATTTTTCACAGATTTTCACATAATGGCTTTCCAGATACGCGCCCGGACTGCGCACGCAAATCGAATTCATTTTTAAGGCCTAAGAACACATAATTTATTTCCAAAACAAGTGATGACCTTATGGGTCATCACACTGAGCAACTTGAATTTTCTGTTAATATATTTCAATGTATCTCATTGTATTTCCATGTATTTCATTGTATTCATTGTCTTTTTTTTTTATTGTATTTCAATGTATCTCGCTGTATTCCATGTATTTCATTATATTCACTGTCTCGTTGTATTCCATGAATGTATTCAAATATTTGTTTAATTAATATAATTTATGTATTCAGATGTATATATGTATTCAATTTGCTCTATTTTTGTTGTATTTATCGGCTGGGAAAAATATTCAGAATATTTTCTCTGAAGATTGCTATGTTTTTGGGGTGTTTTTCGGTTGAGAATCTTTTTTATAACTGAAAATACAAATTTTGTGTGTTATAATTGTGTTTGTTGAGTTATATTAGGAGTCTAATGTTAATTGATTCACTTTCCGTTTAAGAACAGCTGAATAGACCATGAATTGCGCTATTTACGTTACTGTATTCACAAATACATATCGTGAATACAGTCGAATACAATCGAATACAATAATCTGTCAGCTGTAATCCCCTGTTTCACGCCGTGAATACAGTCGAATACAAAAATCTGTGTAGCTGTAATCCCCGTTTCACGCCTAGAAATGCTACTGTATTCATGAATACAGTAGCTTAAATACATCGAATACACTCTAAAAAATCTGAAAACATAGCTATAGAAAGTAATATAGTAAATGGTAACTACAACTAGCTAATACCCACTAAAACATAGTGATTTCTAAAGTTTCTCTTAAATAAAATATTTGAGAGTTGGAGTGTTTCATATGGGTCGATGTGGACTTGTCACGCACCATTCATGGTGTGGACTCCTTTTAATACATGGAGACGTTTTTTCAAGTGTTCGAAACCTGAATTAAATTAATTTTTTCACTCAATTGTTTATATTATGTATTCTATTAGCTTAACTAATGGGGTAGATATTTGCATATACATTATTTAATTTAATTAAGTAACATCTTTCAATTTTCAAAGAGAAAATGACACAGAAGGAATCTACACTTCTTCAAAAGGTGCATTCAATCTCACCTAAACCATAAACTTTTACTATTATCAAACTTTTAATTCTGACATAACAGTCCTTTTTCCAGTTAATGCCTAAATTTTATTCAAGTTAACATGCAAGTGTCTCACATGATGATATTAAGGGCATTTTTGTGCCCTTTTGTAACTAAAATCCTCAAAGAATAATAGAAATAAAAAAATAAATAACAAAGAGAGAACAAATAAGGAAGAAAAACCAAGAAAACAATTAATCGGTTAGGGTGTGTTTGGTATGAAGGAAAATGTATTTTCGTAGAAAATGTTTTCATGGAAAATGATTAGTTTTATCACTTTTTTTTCCTTGTTTGGTTGGTGAGTGAAAAACGTTTTCCGGAAAATATTTTCTAGTGTTTAGTTAAAGAGTATAAAATATTTTTTAGGGAAATATTTTTTTTATGCTACTCTCTTCACCCCCTTCCCCCAAGTCCATTCCTGTGCTCCCTCCCCCCTCTTCCCTTAAATATCCACCGTTTTCAAGACTCTATTTTCTTCAGGAATTTAATTATTCTTCTAAAAATTCGCACAAACTCAAAGGAACTAGTGTGTTGCTTTACTTTTTTACACAAAAATAATGTTGAAATTTGTGCTTCATAACTAAAAAGAAAATGCGTTTTTTGTTGAAATGAAAGAAAATACTTTTCTACATCATGTAAAGAAATACTCATTTTGTTGAAATAAAAGAAAATATTTTTTACTACATCATTTTGTTGAAATGAAATAAAATACTTTTTTACATCATAAAAAGAAAGTACACTTTTTTTTAAATAAAATAAAAAATATTTTTTTATGTCATGAAAAGAAAATATTCATTTGTTGGAATGAAAAAAAGTACTCTATCTACTATATAACATGAAAAGAAAATAATAATATTTCTATTTAGGGTGGGGTCGGGGCGGGGTTGGGGTGGGGGTGGGGCGGGGTTGGAGTGGTTGGTGAGGATGGGGAATATGGTGAGGAAGGCTGAAAAAGAGTCATGGAAAATATTTCCCTTCTCTTGATAAGGAAAATATTTTCCTTCCAAAATATTCAAACCAACCAAACATGACAAAATTGAAAAATATTTTCCTCCGTACCAAACACAATTGACTTTCCAATAGCAAATCTTCATAGATTCATACAAACAGGCATAATAAAATGCCATATCCTACAACTACCTTAGAGCTGTTAAGTAATAATATAGTGAAAATCCAATAGTTTTTCTCTCATTAGATCAGATTGATCATTAATTTTCTCTCGCTATTGAGATCATATGTTAACTACCATCATATAACAACAACAACATCAGATTCAGTGTAATTCTACAAATGGAGTCCGGGAAAAATACTGTATACGCACACTTGTTATACTCTTGTACATAGTCGAATCTAATCTACCTTCTATATAACAGACCTATTTTTGCTACTCCGCTTTCCTCTATCTCGTTCTCTTTTCACTTTACTGGTTCGACCAATTCAAATTCGTGCCGCGTAAGGTCCACCGGAGGCAAAAGAGCTACTATCATTTAGGGCTGCTGGTGGAGGACTGATCCAATGCTAGTATTTTATTCTGCTTTTCATTGGGCAGCTTAAATACACTAGGAAGAGTGGACTTCCAATTTACTCCACAAGAAGTACTTCTTTTGTGCTTTGTAGCTGAATTTGCAGTTGCAACTATTCTCATTTGCTCAATTAAGGCATTTGTATTCCCTTCCTCTGATAATATTTCCTCTAATTGCTGTGGATTGATAACTAGCTTCACTCTCCAAACACCTGTTAGGAATTAAATACAAAATTAGAAAATAAGAAAAAGGCTTTCGGGCACAGTAGCGGAGGTAGGATTTTTGCTAAGGGAATTAAAAAAAAGAGAAAGTTAAAAATTAAGTGGTAAGTGTACTAGCGACCTAACAAAGGTTTTGAACCCTTTTGATCACCACTGAGCTATGCTTTTAGGCTGTGTCAGGGGGATTCAAAATATAAAATATAAAGGTATAAATCGAATTTTTCCTTCTATATACAATGTAATTTTCCGACGAAAAGGATTATGGTGAACTCCTTTCGGCCCCTAAATCCGCCCCTGTATTCAAAATTCAAGTTTTAAATAAACATAGAAAAAAAATGAAGTTCTTTATTTGATGTATATTGCATTTAGACTCATTTTTGCCATCTAGGGCGGTTCACATTCACTCTTCATACATGTTAAAGATATAACTAAGCAAATAAAAGTATGTTACTAACAGTTTAAACTTTTAGATAAGATGATACACTTTAACAAAGTATCATAGCAGGCAGAGATACCCGACTTCGAGTCTCACCGCCTCCACTATAAAAAAAAATTTACACTCATGAAAAAATACTCAGCCCAATGTACTAAGCTTCGGGGAGGGGCCGAACCAAGAGGGCCTATTCTAGGCAGCCTTACCCTACATTTCTTTAAGAGGCTGCATTCCACGGTTCGGATCCGTGATCTCCTGATCACATGACAACAAACTTTACCAGTTATGCCAAGGCTCCCCTTCCCTTCCGCTAATTAAGTAAATTAAAGTGACTCTTTTTAACCGTTAAGCTTTTATTAGACCAGATGGAAACACATTTCAAGAATATATGTTACAAACTATTCCTATCTAAAAATACCTTCTCGTTGAGCTGGCAAAACTTCCATGGCTGACCCTTTTGTCAAATTACTCGAAGAAACTTGAATTGGCTCTTTCTTTTCTTCTTCTGATATTTGTTCTTTTTCAATCACACGAAGAAGATAATAGAATTCGCCGTCGACGAGTAATTCTTGATCATGTAATGGACAAGACAAACGATTTGAACTGAAAATGTTGTAACCTGGGAATTCATCTAGGACTTGTCGAACTAATTTAGGACCTTTGAGGTTTAATATTTCTCCAGAATCTGTCATAACACGAGCAAAATTTAAATCTAGTTTTCTTGCATCTGTTGTCACTGCTTTCATTGAACAGTTGCAGTTTCCCATTGATAAAAAAAGAGAATATTTTGTTCAATGAATGAAAAAGAAATGGTGGGGTTTGTTTGTAGTGTGTGAGTGTGCGTACATATATAATATATTACGAAAAGTTTAAATTATGTGCAACTATCAGAATATATATATTTTTTGGGTTTAAATAATATAGTATAGTACATTATTTGGTCATTTTTACCCGTTGCAGCAGGTAATCTCTCTTGTTTTCAAGATTATAATTACATATTAAGGAGGCTTAGGTGTAAATATTAGTATATTATTTGAGTGACTTGATACTGTCAAAAATTCTTTATACTGACGGTGCATATAATTACTTAAACTCATAGTACTTGTTACATCATTCATTCACAACAATAGGTAAAACTTTAGGGATCGTTTGGTATGATATGTAAGCAAAAATAGTCTTGAGATAAAAATGTAGTACCCCTTAGTTGTTTAGTTATTAATCATGGGATAAGTTATCACATGATTAAAAATCGTACCAGAATAACTTATACCTACCAGACGGTAGAATAGTAATCCTATGATAAGTTATCTCAGGATAAAACAGTAAAATTGACTATTCCAGGATTAAAATCCCAGCATAACTAATTTCAGTATAACTAATCCCATCATAACTAATCACAACATAACTTGTCTTCAAACCGAACGACCCCTTAAAGTTTAAGTAGTACACACATCAATGTAAGCATTTTTTACACGTCATCAAGTCTATTCCTATTGTAGCAGGTAACTTATCTTATTTTTAAGATTTCAGCACTCACATTTTAAGGAGGCTTACATGTAAATATCCTTTAATTTGAATAACCTGATAGTGTACATAACTAAACTCAAATTTATATAGCATGATCCTAATGTAATAACCTAAAAATTGAAATATATATATATATATATATATATATATATATATATAAATCTTTAGAAAAATTCAAGAGGTCACGGATTTAGAAGAGGAGGAGACAATCAGACAAGTGGACGAGAGTAGGTGTACTAAGGATAGCAGAAATTTGTGGGAATAATTATTGGCTTTTTGAAAATTTGAAATCGAAACTTAAGTGATTAGACCGTTGGGATAATGATGCATTAATAATGGGTGAAATTTGTCATAGAGTGAATTTAACTTTTATGCACGTGATAACATTTCAGGATGTCCACATATGTAGCATTTTGTTCCAGGAGGAGGAGTGTATGTATCTTCCTTGTAAGAAGAACATCATGAAAAACAAAGTCAAAAAAGTAGTTGATTTTTGTTTGAGTAAAAACAAATTCATGAACGGCTAAAGCAAACCGTGAATCACTCTCATGATCTCCCTGGATAGAAAATGATCGTGGTAATAACTAATAAACAATTAATTGAAAATTATTTAGGCGATTATAACGTTACATGCGATTTCTAGATAACACATAGACGATTTATGGTAATAGCTAATAAACGATCAACAAGAGATCATTTAGGTGATCATAAAATACACGGACGATTTTTAGGTAACATATATGCGATATATGATTTAATCAGGGTCTTATAAAACATAAACATGGTAATAATTAATAAACGAACAACCAGAGATAACTTAAGCGATCATAAATAATATATGGGCAATATCTAGGTAACACAGACGATTTATGATTACATCATGATCTCTTACTTTATAAAAATGATTGTGGTAATAACTACTAAGCTATCAACCGCAGATCATTTAGGCGATGATAAATTCACATGCGATTTTCTAGATAACACATATGCGATCTATGGATTCACTAGTATCTTCCACTTTATAAAAAAAATTCTGGTAATAACTAATAAGCGATCTACCGAAAAATAATCCTGGTAATAATTAATAAGCGATCAGGAGATCACTTAGGTGATCACAAAACATACATGGACAAAATGTAGATAACACATAGGCAATCAATAATTCACCAGTATCTCTCGCTTTATAAAAAGAGAAGAATAATAACAACTAATAAACGATCAACCGAAAATTACTTTAGGCAATCATAGATAATACATGTGTGATTTCTTGAAAATAGCGGAATTTCAGATTTATGGTCATAAAATGCCGAAAACGAGGAACGATCATGTAGAAGCGATAACTATTGTTCCTTAGATCGTTTTTGACGGAATTTTTTAGGCGATTCGGGTTCTGTCATCCAGCTGCTTGTGGGTGGCGTGGGCTATATAGCATACGCAAAATCTGAGAATCGGGTGGAATTCTAATTTTATTACCCTAAAACGCCAAAAAACGAGGAACGATCATGGCGAAGCAATGTTTATTGTTCCTTAGGTCATTTTTGATGGGCCGGCAAAATTTAGGCGATTCGAGTCTAGTCACCCCGACGCATGCAGATGACGTGGGTTATAACACACAAAAATCTAGGAATCGGGAGGAATTCCAGATTTATGGCCCTAAAATGCCAAAAAATGAGGAACGGTCATGGCGAAGAAATGACTAAATTTCCTTAGGTCGTTTTGATGGACTGACAAAATTTTAGGGGATTCAGGTACGGTCGCCCGGATGTATGTAGATGGCGTGGGCTATAACATACGTAAATCAGGAAATCGGGCGGAATTCGGGCGGAATTGCCCTAAATCGCAAAAAAAAAAAAAAAGAAGAGAAACAGTAATGAAGCAAAAACTATTGTTCCTTAGGTCGTTTTTTATGGGCCGACAAAATTTTAGGGGATTCGGGTTCGGTCGCCCGGATGCATTAAGATGGCGCGAGCTATAAAGCACACGAATATGTGCGAATTGGGCGAAATTCTAATTTTTTGGCCCTAAAACGCTAGGAACGGTCATGGTGAAGCAATGACTATTGTTCCTTAGGTCATTTTTGATGGATCGTTAAAAATTATGGCGATTCAGGTCCGCTCGCCCGGATGCATGCAGATGGCGTGGGCTATATAGCACACGAAAATATGAAAATCGGGCAAATTTTATTTTTTTCCTAAAGGCCAAAAACAAGAAAGGTCATGGCGAAGCAATGACTATTATTCCTTATTTATGGGCTGACAAAGTTTTAGGCGATTCGAGTTAGGTTGCCCGGATGCATGCAAATGGCGTGGGTTATAGCACAAAAAAAAAATATCTGAGAATCATGCGGAATTCCAGCTTTATGGTCTTAAAATGCCAAAAAATGAGAAACAATCATGGTGAGGTAATGAATATTGCTCCTTGGGTCATTTTTGATGGGATGGCAAAACTTTAGGCGATTTGGGTTCGATCGTCGGATGCATGAAAATGCCGTGAGCTATAACACACAAAAATTTAAGAATCAGGCAAATTTCAATTAATTAGCCCTAAAACACCAAAAAATGAGGAACAATAATAACAAAGTGATGACTATTGTTCCTTAGGTCATTTTTGATGGGCAGGTAAAATTTTTGGAGATTCGGGTCCGATCGTCCGAATGGATGCAGATGGCGTGGGTTATAGCACACGAAAGTTTGGGAATCGGGCAAAATTCGAAACTTATGGCCCTAAAACGCCAAAAAATAAGGAACGATCACGGTGAAGTGATCATTATTGTTTCTTGAGTCATATTTGATGGGCCGGAATTTTTTTAGGTGATTCGTATTCGGTTACCGGAATGGATGCAGATGGCATTGGCTATAGCACACAAAAATCGAAGAATCGGGCGAAATTTCAGTTTTATGGCCTTAAAAAGGAAAAAAAGAAACAATCATGGAGAAGTGATGACTATTGTTCCTGTCACGCCCCAACCTCGGGAGGTGGGACCGGCGCTCAATCGAGTGACCCCAATTGAGCAAGCCTTACCAAACACTATCTACCCAACTCAATACGAATAAGGGGAGCATGCTTTCATTTATTCAACAAAGGGAGATAGTATATTCAACATTTTTAGTTCATTTTAGATCACCACATTAACTGTAGATAAGTTAGTTTCCAAGGCTCCCATAGAGTTACAATTCATAGGCAACGTAAGTTTAGATTTACAACATGGATAGCACACCCATTCAATGCCCACGCATAACCCACATACATGTCTACGGAGCCTCTAAAGATACAAAAATAAATGTGACAACGCCGGCAACAAGGCCCCGGCTATACCTCAAAAGTGAAAGTCCAAAATAAGAAGATGTGCAATATGGCCCCTTGAAGGAGAAAGGGGCTCACCAAGATCCTTGGGAAGGAGAATGCTCAACTACACACGATCGGCACTATCTGCTATGGAGCCACCTACATTTTTAAAAAAAAATGTAGGGCCCCCGGTAAAAGGGACGTTAGTACCATGGAATAGTACTAGTATGTATAACTAAACACCATTTTACTAGAAAGAACTACCAAGAAATGACAAGTAAATCACATAGGTGAATCAAATATGCAAATCATAAAATCATTCACATAATTCCCATAACTTAGTTTGGGGCATTCCTTTCATACGTTCATCACTGTTCTCAATAGCACCGCTATCTTGAGCGGAGTCCGATCACGACCCGACCGGCTAGGTTGCCTCGTTTGAGGCATGTATCTCAATCACCATTTCATTTCCTCTATCCGGATCTCAATATCAACATATTACCACCATGTGTGCGGCATGGTGTCCGATCACGACCCGATCGGCTAGGTCGCCTTATCTAGGCGTTGTTCCTTTCTCATTAGTCATCACATACGATTCTTTATTTCACACATATCAAATCAATTCCTTGGCACTTAGGGCCACCATTATCACATCGTTTTCCGTTTTCAATATTCATCTTGCAAGTTGTGATCATAGACATATACAAGAGTAGTTTAAGTTGCAGGCACAGGTAAGTGAGCACACAGCTAGCATGAATAACTCTCAGTTTCAATCTTGGCCTATAGCCTAAGCATTTTGACACATAATTGTATTTTTCATACTTCTCTAAATTTTCAAGAATGGTACATTGCATCACATTGAGGCACATCCTTCACGTATATGTGTAGATAATTGCAAATCAATCGCAATAACAATCAATACATTAAGCAGTTCAAATCTTACCACACTTTCGTAAACGCCCACGGAGCTCAATTTCTAATAAAAGGGGGTTTTAGCCATACATAC